TAGACGGCCTTAAAAGTATTCAAGTTGTGTTGATATTTTAAGTGTTTTGAATACTTTTCTGGGAGATTCTTGATAAACATCCTCACAGACTCCTTTTCGGTGGGGACCTCAATCATCTTGGCGGAAGTTTCTCTCCACTTATTAAAGAAAGAAGTAAAGCCTTCATTCTCTTTTTGTCTTAGCATCTCAAGTTGTCTATGGTCAGTTTCAACTTGGATATTGCACTTGTATCTATCAATGAAAGCGTTTACTATCGATTCCCAGGTAGAGGTTTTCTCTTTGTCAAGGGAGAAGAACCATTGTTGGCAAACGGTTTCGAGAGATAGTGGGAACAGAGAGGGGGAAACTTTCTTATCGATACCCTTAACACTCATTATGATTTCGAATTCTCTTAAATGAAAATAAGGGTTATCAGTTGCTCTGAATTTTGGGATGTCGTTGGCGTTGAACTTCTGCGGAAGAAGATCTTTGTCCACCGAGACTCTTGTAATGTAAGCTCTTGAAACTTGTAGTCGCTAGATAACTTGCTTAAACTCTCTTGCATGAGGTCCATTTGTTGTTGCTTCACGGGATCATCGATCTTGAGTGCGAGAAGCTTCAGTGTCTCAGTCACGGTAGCCAGTTGGTTCTTAAGATCATTGAATTCTTCTTGAGTTGTCATTATCTTCTTAGCCTTCCTCTTTTGACGAATTGGTTTATCAAAAAGTGAGACTTGAACAAAGAGGTTGTCCTTGATTAATCTCCCTTCTCTCCTCGACCAAGTACTGTGGAAAAGGAATTTGGGGATATTCATTATTAATTATTTGACTCAAACTTTATTCAACATGCAATGGATGGAGGAAGTGAAGAAAGATGGAAGAATGTGAAGAAGATTTAGGTGGAGGGATATGAAGAATTAGGAATAGAATGTACCCCCCAACTCAAATGACGGAAAGACCGACTCATGCATGGACCTAAGACATGGTCATGGTGATGTACTCAAAGTGTGTGCTAAGACTAGTGAGTGTAGGTGATATGTTAAGACTCGTGTCATGACCATGTGGCTAGACTATGTGACTAGACTCGATTAAAGACTAAGTTAAGACTTCACGTATATGCATTAAACTGGACAGACTGTGGTATTTTAGTCATAACTTTTGATCTGTGACTCTGACTTAGATGAAACCAACGCCAAATTAAAGATAAAACTCGGGGCTACAGATCCATAGGTTGTACGACTCGTAGTTCTTTCTAGAACTCCATCTATGACCAAAACAAGTTGACGTTTGTGCAGTATACGGGAATAAAAATCCGGGTTGATTTAAAGGAACTATGACTCGATTTTAAGTTTATTTATTAGCTCAAATTAATTAATTAATTAATTAAACAAAGTCCTTTAGTCATTAATCAGTTTATTAAGCCTTAACACAAGTCAAACAAACAGTTAGGAAAAAACCACATAGAGTATGCACAACAAATAATGCACAATTAGTCAAGTAGGCACAATATGATGCAATGAGTTTGCAACCTAACCATGGCTCTAGTTCTCTAAAGTTCGGGATATGGTTTAGTCAATAGAGGGTCCATGGTTAATTGTCCGGATGCACCGCGCGGAAGCCTAACCGTTAAGGGTTGGCGCGAGTAGATGGACACCGCGAGTTTTAGAAAAAACTCGCTTCCATGGTTTGGTGAATTCAACATCTCGGATGTACCCTTTGTTGCACGAAGCGTTCAATCAGGTAGATGGAGCATGAATTCCCAGAGGGTTATGTCCATATGTAGAACACATATGGGTTTTAGAAAAGTGAGAAAAAATTCAATCAGGAAGTAGGATCGAGCAAACAATACGAAAAACCGGTCGAAATTAGAACGCATATTTCTGGCTCGGTATTGGGGGAAATTGGCGCCAGCAAACAGAGACTGGCGCCAGCTTTTAACTGTAGCGGATGGCGCCAATACTGACGTCTGGCGCTACAACTAAAATACTGGCGCCAAGCTTTGGCCCCTGACGCTACTTCCCACATGCCTCAGCAGCTTTCTGTGCTCGATAAAATTTTCCAGTTTCGCGCGGTGTTATTTAAGTCCTAGTTGTGAAAGATATTTCTCAAATTTTCTACGTGTAAAATCCTATGTTTTTAACTCATTACGGATGGTCTTTCCAATGAGATCTTTTTTATGCATATGACAATAATGTTAATCAAAATTACGCACATGAAATACTTAGAACGTTTCGAAAAAAAACTGTAGGAAATAATGTCAAGCCTTAAATCCCACTAACTTGAACCCCACTGTGATCATACACTAAAGTACGGTGGCGTCCAAAAAGGAAAAAGATAGAGCAAAAGAGTCGCCAACAAGTTTTTAGGAACTTGTAAACCGTTCACGAGGTGAAGGTTACACCCCTTAACAATCCAAGAGATCGTCAACTCCATAAGGTCTAGAACCAAATAAGGGTTCGGGGATGAAGGTACAAATCCAACCTAAAAGAGATTGAACCTGCCCTAATAATAGGCCTCTACTTTACTCTGATCGTATTCATGTGCGCTTTCTAATTAACATGCAATCAATAGATTAACCCTAAACCTGTTTATCTATGTTGGTTGAATATTAATGCACAAATAAATCTATTATTGGTGATAACTTGAATTATAATCACAATTAACCCTAAACAAGATTATTAATTATCTTATTAAGCGTGATTACAAGTATAAATTCCCTTTAAACATGCAATAAAGGTGTGATCAAACAATAAATAATAAATATATCAAGCAACACAATAATCATAATAATAAAATTATAATAGTCATAATAATAATCATAAATAAAATAATCATCTCCAAAATAATAATAATAATAATAATAATAATAATAATAATAATAATAATAATAATAATAATAATAATAATAATATTCATAATCATCATAAATTATAACAATTATAAACATAATCATGTTCATGTTAATATTAAAGCATAATAAAAATAGCAAGATCCTAGTCATGATACGAACAAGATTAATAACAAACCCTAGCATGTCACTAAGCAATAAAAATCAAATCTTTAGCCCTAGCATGATACTAACAATCATAAATATTAGGAAGAACATAGGAAGCATTGTAACAATTATATTTAATATTAAAATTACCCTAGACATGATACTAGGAATCAAAATAACAGTCTAAACATGATTTCTACATCATAAAATCAGTTAAAACCATTAAACCACTTACTTTGATGCCTTGTATCTCTTTCTAATAACAAAATACACACGTTAGTAACTTCAAGGAAAATAATAATCAAACAATCAAATTAAATAATTGAAAGAGAGATTAGGGACCAAACTCTCAGAAATTAGACCTTTCAAGTCTAGGGCGAAGACAACTTCGAATATGGCTAGGTGTTTCTAGATATTGTGAATGCGGAATTTTGTATTGAGAAAACAAAGTTTAGAGAAAGAAAGAAAGAAAGATGAATGGAAGAGAATTAGAGAGAATTGGTGAATTGAAATAAGAATTGATGAAATATGGTTATCGAAAATGGAGTTTAATACGTTATTTATAGAGAAAATCAGCCAAAAAGATAAAATTAACAAAACAGAGTCTGGCGCACGCAAAACAAGGTTGGCGCCAGGATTTGGCCATTGGCGCCAGGGGCCAATAGCTGGCGCCAGGCCTGGAGTCAGGCGCCAAGCCTGTTTTTAACGCGTTTTTGTTTTTATCATATCTTTTGATCCGGAAATTCAAATAAGGCATATAATATGTCGTTGGGAAGCTCTTAAAGTCTACTTTCCAAACCAATTAGAATCAGATTAAAATATTTTGTAGATAAAAAGATATGGCCAAAATAGTGGAAGGGTGTCAGTTTTGGATAAAGTTTCATGTCTCATTCATATCTTTTTCGTTATAACTCGGATTTAATATTATAATATATAATTGGAAAGATAATTTCAAGATCTATCCAACCATATAAAATTTGGATAAATATTATGAGGCACGAAAATAAAATCTGAATATATTCCACTTCGTACAAAACAAGGATTCTTAAAAGAGTAGTTTTATTCAATTTCAAACTCTTTAAAACATAAAAGAACCTTTTAGAGTATTCTAAAAGACTATAATCAATCCTAATAGCTTTAGGAATGATAATTAATAATAGGCCCTCCTCTAGATCATTGGGCCGCATATAAGGGTCAAACCAGGCCCAGTTTAGTATTTTGGCCATAACTTCCTCGATATTCATCGGAATTGGGCTTATAATATATCGTTGGAAAGGTCTTTTCAAACCCCATCCAACTACACCATTATTTGATCCTTATCATGGACCAACCAAAATGAATTGACTATTTTTTTAAAATAAGTTTTCAAAAACAAAGAGAAGAGAAAAGAATTAAAACTATCCGCAACACTAAACTTTCCACACTTTCACTTCATTCGATTATGATTCGACGTGAAAGGTACTCATCACTGGGTTTGGTTTTGGGGAGACACAAATGGGTGTCTACAATAGTACTAATGTGAAGTATGAGGAAAGCACCTTGTGTTGTGTAGTTACTTAGTGTAAGTTTCATCGAATTATGGTGTGTTCTTGTTGAGTTTGAGGGTCTAAATTGCATGAAATTTCTCTATAATATGCTTATAGTGTGTTATTTGTCGTTATATAGGGTGTCTATCCTAGAACGGGTGTAATTATGCACACTCTCACATTTACTTAGGGGGCTTGCATTTTGGGTTTTCAAATTCTAAACTACTTCATTAGTCATAAAATTTGATGCTTAAGGTTGTAAAGTTTGATTCTTTATGAATTTTGTGCCTCTTGATGTAATGCTTAATGTGTAAGAAACAATTTGCTCTCTTGCATTCTAGGTTTGTCAAATTATGATTTTATATACTCCTTAAAGAGGGTTCAACGATTATAATTTGAGTGTTCCATTGTTTCTGGGTTTGTGTAGAGTTTCAAGCTCGGATCTTTAAGGTTCTTCTTAGCTTGATTATTTCTGTTTTTATTTTTTGGCGGATTTTGTAGGAAACTCATATGTTCAAGATTGAATTAAAGAAGATATTCTTGATTGAGTTGTCAATGTTTGTGCCAAGGTGAGTTCATTCGAATCTAATTTAATGTTATATTATTTGCTTTTGTCTTGTAAATATTTGATCTTAAAGTGTTCGATGAATTGCTTGAATGAAATAGATTGTGGGTATTTTCTCATTTAATCTAGGGGTTTATGTTTTCATATGACCCTTAATTATGAATTGCAGGTGATTGATGATCTAAATCTAGGGTTCATCGCCAATTTACTTGGTGTTTGAGCTCTCCATTAAGTTCTACTTTGACTTGGGGTTTGAGTTTTCCATCATGAATCTCATCTGGGTATGTCAAATTCTGATTTTTTATACTCCTTAAAGCGGGTTCAAGGATTATAATTTGAGTGTTTCCTTGTTTCTGGGTTTGTGTAGAGCTTCAAGCTCATATCTTTAGGTAGTGTCAGTTTCATGATTTTGTTTAGGTATTTCATCTTTGCTTGATTAATTGATCTGATGTTTCAAAGATTTTATCTGTTATTTTTTGGTAAAAGACTTTTTAATGATTTGTGGTTGCAGATCAGAAGAAAATATAAGGGACCATGCCTCACTAATCACTATCGACCTCACCCAAATCGACTTGGACTCTGTAAGATTTTAGCTTTTATTTTTATTTGTTAAGTTTGTGTAAAAGTTTTACCTTCAATTTCATCAAGTGTAATTGATAATTGAATGGAAGTAATGATGATGAAGTACTAAATTTTGAATGGATTTTGATCTGGAGTTAACTATGGAAGATTTATCGTGTTTTGGATACAATTTTTCTAAGGTTGTGAATCTCTTACTATAATTCCCTTTACATTTCAGGCCACTTATATTCCTTCTTATGGGTTCTACTTTAGATTTTTTTCAAACAATTTGGATAAATTTAGAGTCTTGTTTGCTAATGAGCAGAGTTGGATTCATGATGAATATAGCTAGCTAGGGTCGAAACATTTAGGAAATCAAGAAAATTGTTTACCATTGTTTTATGTGTAGGAAAGCATCTTAATGATCTTGTTTAGCCTTTTTTAAGAGGTTAAGTTGGGTGATAGTATGAAATTAAGACAGAAATCTATTGTGTCCTATGATCGTAAATTCTTAATGTTATACGATGGGATGTATGACCACAAAATCGTGTTGGGAACCTGATTTAAGATAAATGTAGCTAGCTAGGAATAAAAATGTTTAGGCGATCAAGATAAATGATCTTGAGTATTGACTGATATGTATAATGATAAGGGAGGGATATTGTATTTCTATTACTTGTACAGTTGTACCTGTAGTAAAACGTTAACAGACTCCTTTATTTTGTGTTGAATTCCTTATCAAATGGCATCTTATTCTTGCCCCTTACGGGTTTTTTTTTTTTTTTTCAAATGCCAAAAAACATTTCTTTGCTCAAATATCATTTATCTTGACGGCAAATATGCTTAAAGATCTGGTACTGACCATCTTTCAATTTCCAGGTTGAGGTTCACTGGAGCAAAGGCCACAAACCACTACCTCCACTTCATCCCCTCTTAATTAAGGGCAGAAACCTCTACAGATTGAACACATTGAGGCGGGTGAGCAGTAGACTTTTTTGTGGCTCTTTGCATGCTGAAATTTATGATGAGATTGCCATTACTTAGAAGTGGTTGCAATTGTCCGCCTATATTAGAGATGGGAAGATGAACCAGAAAGACAGCGGGTTTTGAGCAAAAAGCATTGCAGGGGCTCCCTTGCCCGATCAAGTAGAGAAGCCCGAATTCAGGGAAAGATAGCAAAGAAGATGCTCAAAGGAGCCAAGTATGGACTTAACATCACTTGTTTTTTAATTCTTAATGTTGAAATACAAGAATAGATGAGAGTTGGCCTGTTTAATGTCACTTAGAAAGTTGGCACTACTCTACTGCAGGGTTTGTCCTAAAGAAAGACAACATATATGTCAAGAGAAGAACCATAGGCTTGCAACAGGTCCCATCTCCAACAATTCGTTTTTGGTGTTGATGCTGCTGTTAAGGTTATGCTCGATGTCGCGCTTTCTTTTTCTTATATTTTGTCTCTCACTCGGAGGCTAAGGTAATTTTTTTTAATTTTTTTTAAAATTTTTTATTTTACTCTGTTGTTTTCGGAGGTTGATTGATAAAAATTGTCAAACAATTTGTTCAAATTAAGTTGTCTCTTTGTAGATTAGGGCTTTCAATTAAAATTATTGCCTCTCTTTGTTGATACTTACTATGTTTAAATTTCTTTATAAATGGGTGATAGAGTAACTTGATGTGGGTGTCTGGAATATTGGCTGGATGACAACTGAAAATCTGAAAATTTGTAGCCAAGTCGTGGCCTTACTCCATTTGGTAAAGGCAGCCTATCAATCTTAGAAATTAAGGCCTCCAAAATCTTTGAATGAAAATAACAACTTTTTTCAAGACTAAGCTTTAGAAAATCTGATGTTTGGTTGTAGATCTATCATATGTTAAACTTGAGTCTTGAATCTATGTTACTGTAAATTGATTTTTGTAATGTAGATATGTGGGCATGGTATAAGATACAATGCTAATCTGTAAAAATCTTGGGTGCTTGAACTTAAAATTGAGAAATTTTCTTGTGAATGAATTGAAATTATATTAATCGTTTGTATGTAACTAAGCTGTAATGTTAGTATATTGAGGTAAATATTTCTGGGTCGTTGAGTATTTTTCGAATTGATGCAATTGAGCAATAGAATGTCACATTTTACTCTAAATTATCTTAAATTTCCTCAGATAATTGTTGGATTTTGCATATGATTTGCCTTTGTGTGAACATGAAAAGGCTCACATTTGTACGCTTTTGTCTTATATTATACTCTATATAAAGAATATATGATACTTTGTATCATCATAAAGGTTTTTGTTAATTGGGCACTTTGCTCTTGTAGAAATAGCATGGTTGGCTTGTTAGAGCTAGAGGGAAGTCCGAAAAATGGTTTTTAGGTAGTTAGAAGGCCATCTTGCTACCTAAAAATGGGGTTAATTTCATAATTAAACTCATGAAAATAGAACAAAAATAACAAAATTGTTCTTATTAGCTCTTTGTATCCTTGTAAAAGAATGATATTGTGTGACATTAATGTTAGTTTTTAAATTTTGAAGCTTTTGTTGTTTTGCATTGTAATGAGAATTTGATTGTTACATTGCTCATTGCATTGTAGGTCCGCTCTTGTTACATTTGTCATGTCAAAGATCAAAGAAATAGCTGAGAGGGACGGCACTCCTTTGATGGCTGATGGTAAACTTATAGTTGTGAATGAGCAACAGGTGGAGAAGTTTCTTTACACTGCCTTGAAATTGCTAAGATACTCAAGAATGACCGTTGTGGTACTTGTTAGCTTACCGCCACCACCTCCATCACCCATCTATATTTTATATGGAATACTTGGATCTTTTGGTGGAAAACATTCCGAGGCTTTTAATTGTAAGAGGATACAAGAAAGATGTGGTCACGTTGTTTACATAACTTAGCCCCCAATTTTTGCTACGGGGATAAACATGGTGTACTCAAGGACCAAAAAATTTAAAACTACCTATTTGTTCATACCTTCTGTTTTGACAATTCATTGTATCTTTACAATTTTGTCAATCATTCTTTTTGCAAGTGTAAGTTTAGGAAGCCTCTTTATTTATTTTTTATCTAGATTATGTAGATAAAATTTTTAATATAAGAGGATAATGTTTATGTGTTTAAAATAAGGAAATTGTTCAGAGAAAAAAAAATTACATTTATAGTTAATTAACCAATTTAAGTTTTAACTAACAACTCATGGTATGATTAATGCAGAGCCTTAAAGATTGTTATTTAGTTTGGATTATCAACTTATTGATTAGTGAATGTAGAAAGCCAAAGTGTTGATGTTAGGCCTATCAAATTTTGCATGCATTTGGACAAAACAATTAAAATAACAACGTTTGTTGGGCCATTATGGCCTTTCTCTTATTAAATACATACATAAGTAAAACAATTTCATGAAAAAGTAAATATGATAAAATCTTTTTCTGAAACACCTATCATTTATGTATGTTATCAAAAAATAATAACACTACTAATATATTTCGATACAACTTAATTATACTTTACACAATAATGCAATAATTTATAACGTATACAAGTAAATATTATGTACAATTTACAAAAACTAAGCTAATTAACTCACATATACGTCTTGCTAATAATTTATATCATATACAATTTACAAAAACTAAGCTAATTATCTTACTTATACATCTTGCTAATAATTTTCTTAATAAGCTTTACAAACCGGTGTGCACACAACGCGCGCGGCGCACTCGGACTAGTGTAAAGAGAAGTAAGGACCACTTGAAGAGGAGGGGACCATACTTACTCCCCACTCCTTCCTCTCCTTGTGCCACTTGTCCTCACACAAACACATTCCCTTCACATGCTTCCCAAATGACTCGGCTCTAACACCCGGCCCAGCCTAGCCCCGCACACGCGGGCTGCTAGCTGCCTTCTCGGCCCAGCACGCCCACGCACATATGTGCGGGCTGCTGTTGCCGATAGGCGCTACTAGCAAGCCACGCACATGTGCGGGCTGCTAGCAGTAGCGCGCGCCAGCAAGCCACGCAATGCTTGCGGGCTGCTGGCCGTAGCTTGCTAGCAAGCCTTGCACATGGTGCGGGCTGCTAGCTTGCCTAATCCCCTAGCACTCAGGATTCCGATGCTAGGGGTATTTTAGTCATTGTTGATTTATTACTAATTTTGTCGTCTCGTCTTTTACTATTTTTACTCGACTTCAGACGCTCGGTTTTGACGCTTTGAGCTCGAATTTCCGACGTCTAAATATTTAACACTCAGGCGACGAATTAAGGCGAGTCGGTTCATATATTTTCTTGGTTGTGACCCGAAAGGTTCAGTCAAGATTAAGCTGTAATATTAATTATACATTAATATTACTGATCAGAAGCGGCCTCCACCCAGACATTCCGATCACTTGACCTTACTGAATATATTAGCTTTCTAATAATTCTGAACCCACTAACGGAATAGTACACTTGTTCGAAGGACACCATTCCTTTCAGCTAGTGCCTCTACTGCACCCATAAGCATGACAACAGTATTGCGTAGTTCATGAACTTCCTCTCCCAAATTTGACGAGTTTTCCTCAGTATTACTAAAGAAAATTTCTTCTTCACTAGCCATTATTACGATCCTCTTTCTTCTATCAAAGGGTGATATATAAAAAAAAATGTTGTCTTGGTTAAACACTCTTCTCTCCTCAATCAAGCGCTGCGGAAAGGGAAGTTAGGGGTAAGTTTTTCATTTTTAACTCGAACTCTATTCAACATGCAATAGATGGGAAGAGATCATGGAAGAAAGGGGAGAATGATTGGTATGTAAAAATTATGTAGAGAGTGAAAAAAAGATATAGATGGGAATATATAGAAAAATTTAGGAATAAAGTGAACCCCAACTCAAATGACGGAAAGAGTGACTCATGCATGAACCTAAGACATGGTTATGTTGTGAAAATAGTATGTACAAAATGTGTGTGAATATTTGTGAGTGTAAGGGATATGTTCAAGACTCGTGTTATGACCATGCGACTAAACTATGTGACTAGATTCGAACAACGACTAAGTTAAGACCTCATGTATGTGCACTAAACTGGACATGTTGTAGTATTTTAGTCATAACTTTTTATCTGTGACTTTGATTGGGACGAAACCAACGCCAAATTAAAGATAAAACTCGGAGCTACAGATCTATAGCTGTACAACTCGTAACTCTTCCTAGAACTCCAGCTATGACCAAAACAAGTTGATGCTTGTGCTATATACGGGAATAAAAATCCGAGTTGACTCAAAGGAACTATGACTCGATTTTAGACATAATTATTACCTCAAATTAATTAATGAATTAATTAAGCAAAGTCCTTTAGTCCTTGGTTAGTTTATTTCAGCATATTCATAATTACAAGTCAAACCAAACGGTTAGTTTAATCACATGTACGTATGCACAAGCAAATAATGCACAAGTAGTCAAAACAAGATGCAATGAGTTTGCAACCTAACCATCGCTTGGCGCTGACGTTGTTTTCTCAGCGCTAATTCCTACATGCCTCGGCAGCTTTCTATTCTTGAATTTTCCTGTTTTTTTCGTAGCGTTTTTTCGACTTTAGTTGTGAAAGATATTTCCCTAAATTCCTACGTGTAAAATTCCTATTTTTTGACGCATTACGGTTGGTCTTTCCAATATGAACATTTTCATGCTTATGCCAATAATGTTAATCAAAATTATGCACATGAAATAATTAGAACTTTTTGAGTCTCATCTACGCATTCTAAATCATTGCCAAAATAAATTTTAAGAATTAAATAGAAATCCTCCCCAGTGGAGTGGCCAAAAAACTGTAGGAAATATTTCAACCCATCCCACACTTGAGCCCCACGGTGATCATACACTTAAGCATGGTGGCGTCGAAAGGGAAGGAAGCTAGAGTAAAAGAGTCGCCAACAAGTTTTAGGAACTTGTAAACTATTCATAGGGTGAAGGTTACACTCCAATAGGTCTGGAACCATGACTGGAAGTTCGGGGATGTAGGTACAAATCCAACCTAAAAGAGATTGAATCTGCCCTAAAAATAGGCTGTTACTTTATTCTTCTCGTATTCATGTGCGCTTTCTGACTAACATGCAATCAATAGGTTTACCCTTAACCTGTTTAATCTATGTTGGTTGATTATTAATGCATAAATAAAACTATTATTGGCGATCACTTGAATTATAATCATATTAGCCTAAACAAGATTATTAATTATCTTATTAAGCGTGATTACAAGTACAAATTCCCTTTAAACATGCATAAAAGGTGTGATGAAGCATTAACTATAATAATATTGATAATCATCATAATAATAATAATAATATTCTCAATCTCAAAGCATAATAATCATGTTAAAGCATAATATTATTAGCAAGATCCTAGGCATGATACTAAACAAGATTAATAACAAACCCTAGCATGTCACTAAGCATTAAAGATCAAAGCTTTAGCCCTAACATGATACTACCATGATATTAGGAAAGAAATAGGAAGCATCACAATAATATACGTGATATTAGAAATTTTAGTTACTACCCTAAACATGATACTAGAAAACAATAAAACAATCTAAGCATGCTTTCTATTTCAAAAGATCAATAAAACAATTAAAGTACTTAATTGGATGCCTCGTATCACTTTCTAATAACAAAATACACACGTTAGTAACTTCAAGGAAAATAATAAATAAAACAATTAAATTAAATAATTGAAATAAAGATTTGCGACCAAACCCTCAAAAATATTCAACCTTTCACGTTTAAGGCGAAGGCAACTTCGAACTTGGCTAGGTGTTTCTAACACTAATGAGTGAGGAATTTTGTAAGAGAGAAGGTTTAGAAAAATAATAGAGAGAAAGAAAGCTTCTAGCTTTTAGAGAGAGAGAATAGAATTAGAGAATTTTGGGCGTTGATTTTAGATGTTTATGATTTCAAAACAGGGAAATACAACCCCTGCCTATTTATAGAAAAATAGCACAGGATCAAAGAAAATCGTATTCTGAATAAAATACCTAATATCGCAAACGACAGGAGACAGCGCCAGACGATAATCTCGTCACCAGGCGACGAAAGTCAGCGCCTTGCGACAACTCTGTCGTCTCGCAATGGTTCAAAAGTACAACGCTCTTTTACATGCGTAATTACCTTTAAAACCGGTTACAAGTAATTATGTGTCCAAGCAGATTTTAAAATCATATTTAATATATTTTATTCAAAATAAGACACCTTAAAAATATAATTACTAATCCTAATCTCATTAGAGTTAAAGAAAACCTTCTAGATATTCCTAGAAGACTAAAATCAATCCTAATCACTTTAGGAATAATAATTACTAGGCGCTCCTCTAGATCATTGGGCCTAATTTAATTGAATCCATAACTTCCTCATAATTCATTGGAATTGGGCTTATAATATATCATTGGAAAGCTCTTTCCGAGCCCAATCCAACTACACTATTATTGGATCCTTATCATGGACCAAACCAAATTTGACTGACTATTTTTCATAAACAGGGTAAGAAAAGAAATATTTTTGAAAACAAAAAGAGAAAAAAATTAATAAAATCATCCTCATTACTAGACTTTCCACACTTTCACTTTGTTCGATAATAAAATGACGTCAAAAGTATTCATCTCCGGGTTTGGTTTTGGGAAGACACAATTGGGTGTCTACACCTACTGGTCCCCTGAGCTTGTGGAGAGCAAATCAGCAATATTTTTTGTTCGATTGGCAAGGAAACATGGCCTTAAAAATGTCATCCTTGAATCTGATAACAACACTATAGTTTCCAGGATTTTGAAGGCTTCCACTTATTTCTCAGATTTAGATACTTTGCTTGACGATGTTTTAGATACTTGCACTTTATTTGATTTTATCTCTTGGTCTCATGTAAAGCAGGAGGGGAATTTTGTTTCACACCATCTAGCTCGTCTCATTCCGTATGGTGTTGAACAAATTTGGTCAAATTATTGTCCTAGTGAAGTTGCTCCTTACGTACTAATGGACAATTTATCCTCAAATGAATGATAATGACTCCCCTGCTCTTCCTAAAAAAACTAAAAGT